ATGGAAGCTAAGGAATATGAGAATTTGGAAGGAACTGGGGAAGCCGATTTATGTGATGACTTTGTGATGGGCGCAAGAGACATAAGAATTTTAGAAGATGCTCGGTGAGTTTAGTTTTTTAAATTTTCTTGCAATTTTAATTTTTATATTTTCCATATAATTCTTGTGTAACTCTTTGTTAATTATATGCCTTCTCGACTCTATAGAGATGTTTCTCAAAAAGATGAAGGTGGTAATGAGAATAACAGAGAAACGCCATCTATCAAACGGGCTGTCGGAAAGAGGGAGAGGAAGGATGGACCCTCTGTTACTTCACCTTATATGCCTCTAGATCAACCAAAGGAAGGCACAAAGAAGAGACGTGTCATCCAGATATTGGATAGTCCTGATGGGAAAAAAAAGTGCAAAAATCAAGAAGGCTTCATACCTACATCTAGAGACTATCCAGGTAAGGCACTGGCGTTTGATTATGAGAACAAATTAATTGAAGACTTTCTACAATCGAGAATGAACAGGTAACTGTTACTGACTTATTCTAATAATAATCTTTGAATTTACTTAATTCTAGTAGCAATTTTCTCACAATGTACTTGCATATAGTGATACGTACATTTGGAAGTGTGCCGAAGCAAGCGTATCTCGCTTAGATGCTTATATACTATTAACGGGAGGTGAACTCAGTGACGATGTAGGTTCTAAACAATTGTGTTATTGATTGTTTGATGTTGTATATAAAATAATTTATATTAACTATTTTATTCATTCATGGTAATTTTTGTAGGTGATCGATGCATTTGTTATTCGGCTTTGTAACAAGATTGAAACAAGTGATAGTTATGATCGAAAGATACATGTCACAAGACCTTGGCTTGCAGTAAGTATATCCTTGTTTTTTTCACTAATTGGTGGATATTATTATTATGTTATCCCACAATGTTGACATTATTGCATCTTTTAGCAAGCATTTCTAGAAGGAAATCTTGAAATGGTGGCAAAACGAATGAAGGAAAATGTTTCTCAGCAGAAGTTCTTGGAGTGTGAAAGAATTCTGATCCCGATTGTCAGCTCCGGACATTGGCACCTGGTAGAGTTAGTGAGAGAGGAGACAAAATTCTATCACTACTCCTCAATCAACTCCCCCATTTATACCGCCGATGCTGTGAAATTTATAAATAAGTTTATGAGTTTCATTGAGAGTAATTGGGGATTGGGGAAATTGGAGCATCATGGTCTTGTGTCAGTTGCCGTGCCACAACAAGGACCGTAAGTGTTTCATGCATTTCTAATTTAATTGTTCATTTTTTTGTTTCATTGTCATTTTCAATATTGTAATATTTTTCCCTTAAATGCAGAACGTTAGATTGCGGGATCTTTATGATTGAATTCATTAACAGCATTGTCGAAAAACGGTCGATAACAATTTCAAAAGGAGATTGTGCAAAATATAGAGCAAGGTTTTGTGCTGCTCTTTTGTATGCACGCGATTCACCTTTTTTGTAAATATTATTTTAATTTTCTCCAAGGTTTTTGTTGTGTATTCAATGTTGTAAGTATGTTCATGTTGTTAATATGTTGTTAATTGTTTTGCGTGTACATTTACAGACAACTACGTTGTTGTTGTGTGTTGTAAGTATTTTCATGTTAAATGAGAAGTAAGCTAGGGCTAACATAGCCACCAGAGCAAAAACTTGTGATAGAAATAACGCCAGCCAGCAGTAGAACTAACTCGAGAAGGGATAGAACTAACAGGAGGGCAGCTAGAACTAACAAACGTGAGGGTAGGGCTAACATGGCCACCAGAGCAAACACTTTTGCTAGAAATAACTCCAGCCCGCAGTAGAACTAACTCGAGAAGGGATAGAACTAACAGGAGGGCAGCTAGAACTAACAAGCGTGAGGGTAGGGCTAACATGGCCACCAGAGCAAACACTTTTGCTAGAAATAACTCCAGCCCGCAGTAGAACTAACTCGAGAAGGGATAGAACTAACAGGAGGGCAGCTAGAACTAACAAGCAGTTAGGTAGGGCTAACATGGCCAACAGAACACACACTTGTGCTATCTAGAAATAACGCCAGCCCGCAGTAGAACTAACTCGAGAAGGGATAGAACTAACAGGAGGGCAGCTAGAACTAACAAGCAGTTAGGTAGGGCTAACATGGCCAACAGAACACACACTTGTGCTATCTAGAAATAACGCCAGCCCGCAGTAGAACTAACTCGAGAAGGGATAGAACTAACAGGAGGACAGCTAGAACAAACAAGCGGTTATGTAGGGCTAACATGGCCAACAGAACACACACTTGTGCTAGAAATAACGCCAGCACGAAGTAGAACTAACTCGAGAAACATGGCCACCAGAGCAAACACTTTTGCTAGAAATAACTCCAGCCCGCAGTAGAACTAACTCGAGAAGGGATAGAACTAACAGGAGGGCAGCTAGAACTAACAAGCAGTTAGGTAGGGCTAACATGGCCAACAGAACACACACTTGTGCTATCTAGAAATAACGCCAGCCCGCAGTAGAACTAGCATGAGAAGGGATAGTACTAACAGGAGATCAGCTAGAACTATCACATTTAATCTAGAACTAACATAGTCATTAGAACACAACTAGAACTAACATAGGCATTAGAACCCACATTTAAACTAGACCTTGCGTTAGCTAACACGAGAATGGCAAGAACGAACACGGAAACGGCTAGAACGAACATTAACCCAGGTAGAACTAACATATTCAATAGATCCAACACTTAAACTAACATTATTCACTTGCACTTGGCTGTGAAGGTTACCGAGATATTATAGGTTTGACTGCATTCATTGTTTTTGCATAGTTCCCAAGGTTGAATAGTTAACTCACCTTGCAAAAGTGCAGTCCCAAGGAGGAGAGTTATGATAACCTGGTCCGGAACCTATCCCCACATCCCACGCGGCAACATCACCATCCCCAAAGCCTGTTCAACCCCAGGATAGTATTGATTACCTTTTCGGCGCAATCTTTTTCGGATCTCCCCATCGCCGACTCTCTGTAGACTCTTCCTCATTTATTTGTAAACCCCATACTTTTACCCTCTCCCCTACCCTTCAAGTTCCCCTGTATATATGGCGTTGTAAATTCATGGCTAGTTCCTGTACATCCGATGAAGGTCATTGCCTGCCTGGGACGCACGCTGATGTGGATCTTGGATATCCCTCACGCTGATGAAGATGTTATCCCCATTGTCTTTGCTCTTAGTTCCATCATTGGGTGAATATACCTGGCTCCCTTCAAAGAGTTTGTACATTAACGCCCAGTTAAGATTCATAAGCGCATGGAATACGATCAATTCAGATGGGTCATGCGTGAATCACTTGGGGAGGCATGCAAATGCTGGAGAGAATTGTCCTCTGGCATACGTTAACACTCTATAGCAATACAGTGTTAACGTAAGCCAGAGGACTATCTTTTTGCTAGCATTCGCATGCCTTCCTAGGTGATTCACGTACTGACCCGTCTGAATTGATCGTATTCCATGCGCTTATGAATCTTAACTGTTGTTATTGCACAAGCTCATTGAAGGGACCCAGGTATACTCACCCAAGATACTGGAACTAAGAGCAAAGACACAGATTGTACATGCAGTTGACATTACTTTAATACAAGGTTGTTTTGTTAAGTCATCACGTTTTATTGTAAAGATTATGGACTGGTTGTATTGTTATGTTTGCCGTTGTGTTGTCAAGCTTATGGACGGATTGTCAAAGTTATGTTTTGGTTTTCAACCTCTCCGATTTATTGCGAAGTTTAGCACTCTGTTGTCAAGCTTATGGACTGGTTGCGTAGTTCAGCGCTCTGTTGTCAAATCTAATCTGTTTGTTGTTAAGCTTATCTGCTGTTTGCATTTAATTCTACTGTTGTTGTGAAGCTATCTGTTGTTTAGTCTTTGTATTGTTAGGCTTATGGACTTGTTCACAAGTTTAGATCTTGGTTTGTATTGTTAGTTCCAGCTTAGTCTATATTTTTCTGTTGCCCAGATTCGAGCAGAATCAGATAGAAAATGACCAGTTTGTGCCATGTTAGTTCTAAGTTATGCCATGTTAGTTCTAACTTATGTCTTTTTGGTTCTATCTTATACCATGTTAGTTCTAATCTACACCATGTTAGTTCTAACTTATACCATGTTAGTTCAAACTCATTAAGTACAATAGACCCAACACTTAAACTAGAACTTAAAGTTATATGGAGGTGGAAATAACACGAGAACAGCTGGATCTATCACTGGAGAAGCGAGAACTTACAACAACTAAGTTGGAACGAACAAAGACGCTAGATCCAATACTTAAGCTCTAACTAGCGCTAGCCGGCTATAGAACTAACATGAGTGCCCTTAGACTTAACACGGAAGATGATAGAACTAACAACATCTAAGCAAGAACTAACAAAACCAGTAAAACAAACGACTTAGGCTCCCGTATGGATACCATGGTGTTTTTTGAGCTAAATCGTCTTCAACCCAAAACTTTGTCACTTTTTCTAAACACCTAAAATAAGTTTTAATTTTGGTGTTTTGGTTTTGAGTTTGAGAAGGTGTTAATATAATATCTAGCATAATATATTAAATGTAATTAATATAGAGTTAACATGTTAGTAAAGATAATATATTCACAATACCTATTTATATATATCATAAATTACTAATATATTATTAAATTACTATTAATAAACTCAGCCCTATTAAAGACCATAATATATTACATAATATTAGAATATTTATAACACGTTAATTTATTAGTAACATACTAGTCATAACATAATATTAACATTATTAATAATATTATATTATATGAATGAGAGTATAATATAATATTATAATGACAATAGTATAATATTATGTTATATTAATAATAAAATAAGGTTATTTTAAAAATATAATATAATATATAACCATAACAATTTGATATACCAAAATATTTAAATTATTTACGAACTTGCCCATCTGAAAGGACTAACATGGGTTACCGCGCCCCCTCCCTACTCAAGTACGCTCTCTCTCTCTCTCATAATATGTAATAATTATAAGATGACATAACTCATTAAGTACAATAGATCCAACACTTAAACTAGAACTTAAAGTTATATGGAGGTGGAAATAACACGAGAACAGCTAGATCTATCACTGGAGAAGCGAGAACTTACAACAACTAAGCTGGAACTAACAAAGACGATAGATCCAATACTTCAACTCTAACTAGCGCTAGCCGGCTATAGAACTAACATGAATGCCGTTAGACTTAACACGGCAGATGATAGAACTAACAACATCTAAGCAAGAACTAACAAAACCAGTAAAACAAATGACTTAGGCTCCCGTATGGATACCATGGTGTTTTTTGAGCTAAATCGTCTTCAACCCAAAACATTATCACTTTTTCTAAACACCTAAAATATGTTTTAATTTTGGTGTTTTGGTTTTGAGTTTGAGAAGGTGTTAATATAATATCTAGCATAATATATTAAATGTAATTAATATAGAGTTAACATGTTAATGTAATATCTAACATAATTTATTGCTAAAATATGTTAATGTAAAGATAATATATTCATAATACCTATTTATATATATCATAAATTACTAATATATTATTAAATTACTATTAATAAACTCAGCCCTATTAAAGACCATAATATATTACATAATGTTAGAATATTGATAACACGTTAATTTATTAGTAACATGCTAGACATAACATAATATTAACATTATTAATAATATTATATTATATGAATGAGAGTAAAATATAATATTATAATGACAATAGTATAATATTATGTTATATTAATAATAAAATAAGGTTATATTACTAATATAATATAATATATAACCATAACAATTTGATATACCAAAATTATTAAATTATTTACGAACTTGCCCATTTGAAAGGACTAACATGGGTTACCGCGCCCCCTCCCTACTCAAGTACCCTTTCTCACACACTCTCTCTCTCTCTCTCTCTTACACCGCTTTAGGAGCCAAAACTCTCTAACTTCCAATTTTCTCGACGGATTTCAACAGTGGTAAGGATATCGCCGGAAAAATGTCGTCCGCGGAAGTAGAATCCGTTAACGATTCCGAAGTCGCTCATTGCGCCGATTCGAAGGGAAAAGATGGTTCATCTGGGATTGGCAGCGCGGAGGAAGTCACTCAAACCCTCTTGGTCATGCAAAGGCAGGCAGTCGAAACGCGAGACCGGGAAAGAAAAAGGGCAGAGGTTGGACGTACCAGCGAACCGTCCCCAAAAAAGCAGTATGTGCTAGGTTTTATTCACTATTTTGTGACCTGACGTAATTTGCCCTAATTTCAATTAGAACTAAACAGTGATAGGTTCAAGCACAGCCCATGTTGGTTCTAGTTTGAGTCAATGTTAGTTATAGATTGAGTTCATGTTAGTTTTATAACAGCCCGCGTTAGTTTTATTAGATGACGTTAGTGTTAGGTCTAATTTCAGTGAGCGTTAGTTCTAATTTAACTTGAAAATTTTATTTCTTTACAGGAAAAAAGCTTGCTTATACTGAATCAGATGAAAAAATA